TTTGTTGGTTGATGTAGTTTTTGTTAACACATTTTCTTAGAACTTTCCTTTCCAGTATTTCCAATTCATTGGCCACTATCGGTGAAATAGTAAACCAGATTGGAAAGCCATATACCAAGATGGATCTTATTGCAACTTTGTAAAGAAGCAGTTTTGTGTTTTCGGGTAAGTACTTGTTGTTTAGTATGTAAGAAAACTTTCCTAATATTCTTTTTGTCTTTTGCATGGTGTTACGGACATGTGAGTTAAACTTCATTAGATGGTTGAAATGCACTCCGAGGTACTTTACAGTGGTTTTAAAAGGTATTTCCACGCCATCTAAGGACAGTTGTAGACGGTTACTTTCTGGCACTACATTTTTGGGACACTTCCCAGAGGCGTTGCGTATGCATATTGCAGCTGACTTTGAGGCGTTGATTTTAATGCCCCATTTCTTATAATACTAGTTGATGACATGAAGATGGGATTAAGCTTTGTTTAAAGCGATATGTGGAGACGACTCATGGGCGTAAATCAGACAGTCGTCGGCATATAATATTGCTTGTGAACTGTTGATAATGTGTGGAAAGTCATGCAGAAATATATTAAAAAGATAAGGAGCTAAAATGCTTCCTTGTGGAACACCGCTGTTTACCAATTCTGGTGAGGACAATGCGTCTTTAATTTGCACCACAAAACTGCGCGAAGAGAAGAAACTTTGAAGAATTTTAACCAGGTATGGATCTACCCCGATTTCTATTAATTTATAAAAGATTCCAAGATGGCAAACCGAGTCAAATGCTTTTTGAATATCCAAAGATATTGTTACTGTGCATACTTGATTTCTCAAGTTAGATGTTATGTCGCTATAAAATTTAAGCAAAGCATGTTGAGTAGAGTGCCCAGGCCTGAATCCAAACTGGTAATCTGAAACTGGGTTTATTGGTAGTCCTGCTTCCATTTTTTTCTTTTAAGACCGCTTCAAATAATTTGCCGACGTTGGACAGGAGTGAAATAGGACGAAAGTCATTGGGAGAGGTACTATTCGATTTCTGTTTGATGGGTACTATTTTTGCCTGTTTCCATTGTAGTGGAAAGTAACCGTTGTTGATACAATGATTAAATAAACAAGTAAGGAGTTTGATGGTCCAGTCCGGGAATTTTCTGATGATAAAGTTTGAAATTCCGTCTGGACCACATGATTTTTTTGTGTTGATGTTGGCTATAATATGTTTTATTTTTTCAGTTGATGTGAAATGGAAGCTATCCAAATTGCTTAAAGCGGCAAAGTTATTATCAAAGGAATAGATATGAGCAGTGGTGGTGTCAATGCAAGCAGCGACTCTAGAATCAAGGTCATCAACTGGATTTAATGGAATGGTTTCTCTAAAAATTGATGAATAAAATGATTGAAAATGACTTGCGATTTCAGATCTGTTTGTTATAATATTGTCGTCATGGTGAAGTTTTTGACAAAACGCAGAATTGTTTTTCCCGGTAAATTTGGAAATTTCCTTAAATGCAGACGGACCTGGTTTGATGTTTTTAAGTTTGTTATTAAAATTTTGAGCAGATTCAATGTTCATAAGTTCTTTTATGATATTTCTCAAAAGCTGCACTTGTTAAGAAGTTAAGTTTGGATCCTGGCTAAAATCTGGCCAACTTGTATTTTTATACGATATAATGAATCATTGTTGTGTTAGCATTAAGCTGGAACATTGCCATTTTAAAACTATCTTTATTGGAAAGTGATCGGAAAATGTCGATATGGTAGAAATTTTGTAATTTTGATTACCACTGTGTGCGAAGTTAGAACTTATTAAAAAGTGGTCAAAAAAGGAGGATCCATTCGGATAAGAAGGAGTAGAGTCGCAGAGCCGAATTATATCCAAACAGTTATCATCAAGCCATGTGCTTAAAACTTTTCCATTTGAATTTTCATAAAAGTCTCCCCAAATAGGGTTTTTAGAGTTGAGGTCCCCTCCAAACACAAAGCCATCGAATTTTTTGCTAAATTGGAGTAATTTGTTTAAGTCAGCCTCTAGTTTATTAACAGGATAGCTGCAGGGAATGTATACCGATCCAATTAAGTACTTTTTCGGACAATTATTTGTAACTGCTTCTATTTGTACAAGTGTAGTATTTATGCCAATATCATTAAAATGAATTCGTGTAAAATTTATGTTGTTTTTTAGTATGACTGCTACGCCCAATGGAGAATAATCAGAAATAAAGTTGTAACCATCAATCTTCACTTTTTTGAACTTTTTTAGGTGACATTCTTGAACCATTGCTATGTCAACTTTATTGTTGTGGAGCATATTCCTTAGTTCAATCTGACGGCTAGCATCGACTAATGACCTTACGTTAAATGTCAAAAATGTAATGGCTCTATGGTCCATAATTACATTTTACTTTTGTTAGAAGCCTTAAGAATTCTTTTTTAGCTTCGGTCTTTGGCAAATTTCTATATTCATTTAAGAATCTTTGAATTTCTTGCTCCAGGGTTAATTCTTCTGGCTCTAGAAAGAAATTGGCTAGTTTTAAAAACTCTTGAATAAATGAAGGTTTTTGCACATTTTCTGTGTAGCTGACTGGCGATGGTTTGAATAAACTGGCAAATGTTTTCCCCGGTGATAGCATTGACAAGTTCAAAGCACTTCTCACATTTCTTTGGGCAGTTTTGTTTTCTTCAATGGCTTTTGCTATTTTTTTGTCTCGCGGCGACGTATTGTTTGTATGTAGGGCATCCCTTCCAATTTGCAGGGTGACCTGGTTTTTGCGCAATTTATGCAATAAGGTTCAGAGTTGTCGTTTCTGGATCGTTGACATTCTCCAGGTAGGTGAATTTGATTGCATTTGATGCAATTATAAGCCGAATTACAATTTCGAGATATATGGCCCCATCGTTGGCATCTATGACATTGGGTGTCTCCACCTATCATTTTCGGTTTCTCCCAAGTTATTGTCTGTCTTTGCACTTCCTTAATGTGGGTGACTTCTCCAAACTTTTTGCCTGGGCACAATGATACCAGGAAGAGTCCAGTGTCAATATTATTTTTAATAGACATGGGGGTTTTGAATTTTGTTACACTTGCTACACAATCTGGTACTAGTATATCAAGCTCTTGTTTGATGGTCTCAGAATCTATATAGGAATATAGTCCTCGTATGATCAGTGACGTTTGTTTCAGTTCCTTAGGCGTGAATGAGTATGACTGTATATTTTTAGCTTTTAGTAAAGCCATCATTGACGTATGTACTTTTGGGTCTGCAAAATACAGCTTACTTTTTGTTTTGTTGACATTTTTTATTTTAAAAATGCAATCTGGAAGCTTTTCTCTTAATGTCTCCACTAACGCTTTAATGTTGACATTAAAAACGAATATCGGTGGGCACCAGGAGGTTTTGTTTTTGGGTTCGCCATCTTTGTTATTTTTGGATTTAGGAACGTCAGGTGTGTGATTATCCACCCCTATGTCTACGTCCGATAGAGCATCTAAGATGCTGTATTTATTTGGATCTTGTGGATTTTGCTTAGATAATCGTTCGTTATGATCCGATATGTCTATGTTTATTGGTGATAATACGCTTTCAATCCTTTGTCGTTTGCGTTCATTTTGTATCATTGTTTTTGTTGATTCTAATGTCGGTATAGGAGGGTCAGAAGTCGATGCCACAACTTCTGAAACATCAAAATCCATATCCGGAAGAGTGTCAGGCATCTCCATTGCAGTAAAATGCAAGTAGAGCGCCTGAAGATATATTGGTAATATTTAAATCCAAGAAAATACAATTTGTTTTGGACAGATAAAATTAGTACGTCTGGTAAGTTGAAACGTTGCCACACTTTTGTCTGATATTCTTTTAATGTATATATCGTCATCATAAATGCAAACGGACGTAACTACACTTTTACTAATTTTACAGGAGAGCAAAAAACGTTATAAAATCTTTAAAAATGGTCCATGGCAGAAAAAATTTTCAAAGTTTAACCGCACTACAGAGGTCTTTTTTTATTTGAAAAAATTTAATATTTTTGTTTTTCCAAGTTTTTATGACAGTTACGTCCTTTTGACTTTAATAGTAGTACAACAAAGTGAATAATAATTATCCGATTGAGACTACAATTTGTGCAGCGTACCAGATTGAGTCCGGAGTGACGTGTGTTAAGTTTTGTTGAAATCGGTTAAGATTTTGACATAGCTCTCACACATATTATCGTCGGATTTTGTGTAATTTCTTCCGATTTGAACGAAATTTAGCATAGCGTAATGAATTGAGTCTAGAATGATGTGTGTTAAGTTTCGTAAAAATCGGTTCAGATTTAGACATAGCTCCCCCATACATTTTCGTCCGATTTTGTGTAAATGGTGTATTAAAGACCCTATATTTCTTTCGATTTGCACGAAATTTTGCATAGCGTTCTGAAATTAATCAAGAGTGCTGTGTGTGAAGTTTCGTGAAAATCGATTCAGATTTCGATATAGCTCCCATATACTGTTTCAATCGATTTTATGTAAATCTTGCACTAAAGACATATGATATTTCTCCGATAGTAATAGAACTTTGCACAGGGTACTTTATTACCCAGTGGGAAACAAAAATACGTAATTATAGCTGATTAGTTAAAAAATTAAGAAAAGCTATGCACTTGGGGTACAGCTATATGGGGGCTACCATAAAAAATGGCGATATATCTCTTTTTCAACACCAAACATCCCAGAAGTAACGTTAATATAAGTTCAGAATTCAGGAGTGTAGTTGACACTGAAATTCAGTCACAAGTGACATGTATATGAATACGTAAACAAAAAACATCTGACAAATCAAATTTTTTCATTTTAATACTAGACTAGTATTAACTAGTAGTAACAGCTAGGATTTGGTAGAAGGCATAATCTTTACGCGCCTTTATATTTTCAGATACCTTCACTTTAAAATATAAGATATACAATATGAATAAGTAGTACCCAATGCATTTGAACGGTTTATCAATAATTTATTTCATAAGAATATTTATTAATTTATTTTTTTATTGAAAAGGGGGATTATTGCACGTAGAAAGTTTGTTTCAAATTCTTTCTCAGAAAAACGTTCCACAGAAGACCTGAAATAAAGAAGAAAAATATGTATATAATAATAAAATAACAATAAGGTACCTAAAGTAGATTGATTAAAAAATCGAAGTAAATTTATTTTGAAATTAGTGACACAAATTACTAGTTTAAATTTTATTTGTGTGGTATATGTATGTAGAAAGGGAAATGTTATATACCAGCTATGTTCAGCCATATACGTTATTATAACGGCAAATCACATGTATTCTCTTTTCATTTTCGCCTGTTGTTTGGCATATGCGGGAGAATGTTTTACTACTATCACATGGCATAATTATACAAGGTTGTCTCATGCAGTCATATGTTTTCAATTATTACATAAATTTACTTTTGGCAACATTCAGCATTCAAAATATAAATGAAAATACATTCAATCAAAATGTACGGATAGCATATGTTCAATGGCAAAAATTTTTTATATGTATTCATGGTACACTTATAAAAGGTAACAGCAAAACCCAGCTGATTTGACTGTAACGTAATACTAGTGTCAATATAAATATGACAAATTATGTTTTTAAAAATCAACCAACAAGAAAATTGGGAACGCATACAATTCAAAATTGTTCTCTTTTAAATGTCCTCTAGTATTCAATTTACTCAATCTGCCTGTTGGGAAAGTTTGAGGAAGCAAATCTTTCTTCATGGAATAACTCCCTATTCCCAACATTTTCATATATGTTACACATATAAGTGACAATGGCTCAATTATAGGAAACATGTGGAAGCGATAGAAATATAAAACTCCTTGTACATTAGAACTTTTTACTGGGTTAACATACTTATGAGGATTTATTTGACGTATATGCAAAGGAATTGACAATTGAAACCCACTGGGTTAACGAAATCCGGTTAAATGTAAACGTACTATGAATTCGATAGATTTTCATTTTGAGGATTCGAAAATATTTCATTTTCATAATTTGTTTGTTTGTATTTTTCTGTCAAATGATGTTGACACTAGTAAAACTTACAACAACAAATTTCCATGTAGTTTCCGCCTACGTGGAGCATAGCTGAATGCTAACGGACGCGTACACAGGTTGCGGATTGTGGGAAGCCCAACACCATTCGTTGGGTAACTGTCAATAACCAATAAACAGTCGCGGACAATCAGCGGGCTTAGGGGGAGAGTCTCGGAGGAAATGACCGAGTGCCTATGATCCCTGAGCCGACGAGGCGAGAATGGCTCCCCCTCTCTTATATCCATCTCAAAAGGTCTGGGACACTACCTTCTTAAAGTGTCTCCCCTAACGCTGGGGTGTCATGCGACCTCGTGCCTATCAGCGTTCCACGGTTTGCAGTCAGGGTACCGACACTATTAGAACGGAGCCTTGTTGATACCTGGGCGCCTCAACAAGTGTTTCAGGCTTAGTTGCCAAGTCCTTACCATGGTAAGAGGCTATGCCATGGTCGACCTCAAACTCTCACTCACAGCACTTTCTATGGAGCCATCTGAATTCTCTCGTAAAAGAACGTCTTCGTTGTGGGGATTATTACTGGTCACTGCAAAGTTAGATATCTCACTTCTACTTCTAAGTGGGACTCCAGTGGAGAGGATTACTGTCGTCTATGTGAGGGCGAAGAAGAACTGGAAACAATAGAGCACATCCTCTGCAAATGTCCATCGCTGACTTGGCTAAAATAATATATCTTCCGCCCCCTTTTTTCTCACTATTTTTCTTTCTACTCTTCCACTATATTTTTTTTTTCTTTATAGGTACACTTATACATAAAGGATGATCACAATGGACATAGTTTCCGAGTGGACGGTTACAAGGTAGATATACAAGGTAGCCGCATCGGCGAATTTCTACAACAAACATCGGTTGTTGTATTTTGATATGTCAAAAATATTTTGCCAAAACAAACAGATTGACAAGATTTTTTTACACAAATTCTTGTAGAAAATGTTAATAAAAGTATTGCCAAAAAAGCTTTTCGAAATTCGGAGATTTTCATTTATAATTTTGTTTTTTAATTTTTTGGTTCAGCATTACAACAACATTTTTGACATTTATTTGTCCAACAGCTGGGCCGATGCGGCTACCTTATTAAATATACCTTGGACGGTTATATACAACAACCGTACATCCCTAACCTAACATACATGTAGTTGTTGTATCGTTTGTTGTACAACAACACTTGCCTTCTATTATTATACCATGATATGTATTTATTAATATTTTGAAGTTCCATCACCTAAGACCTATAAATATAAGTTGTAATAGTGTGTCTATATTTAACTCGATTTCGTTAACCCTGTGGGTTTCAATTGTCAATTACTTTGCATATATGTCAAATAAATCCTCATAAAGTAGGTTAACCCGGTAAAAAGTTCTAATGTATATACCGTTTAACATCCAAATCTATATCTTGAAAATAAGGTGCAGCTTTAAAAAATATAAATGTTTAATTTGTTGAAAATATGCCAATCGACATACATAAAATTTTATGGAATTTATTTTTCATTTTATTTGAATGTGATATATGGGTTACAAATTAAAAAGGGTTGCAGGCGAATATGACTCCTAGAAGAAGAGCAGAGAAGATTTCCCCATTGCCTCAATTCCGTGACCAATTAAGGTGAATAAGTAGTATGCTGCGGAAAGGATGAACACCATTTGCTGCGGAAAGGTTGAACACCATTTCTGTAACCAAGGTTTATTCATAAGTTTAACCGGCAAAGCCAGCTGAAGTCTTCACAACTTACTCTCATTTATTGAACTTTTAAGTTATCAAACATCATTCAGTAACAATTTGTTTGGGCCATGACCACGACATACAAAACTGGAAGCAAATTACCAAGGTTTATTCATACGTTTAACAGGGAGGCGAATTCGAAATTTTCGTTGACTGTCAATGAAAGATATTTTGAGTTTTTATCCTGTTCTGGTTGGTATTTCGCGATTAAAATGTTGAATTCGCCTTATGAATAAACGTTGCAAATTACATTCCACCAATCAGAATTTAGGTCACCCAGTAAGGCCAGCTGATATCTACATTTTTTGTCAAAATATTTAATTTCGAATATATGTAAAATAAATTTTCTATTTAAAAACTAATGTGGACAAATGCAAGAAAATTATATAATTATTATATTGTGATGAATTGTTACTAAAAATCAGAGCAATGGCATACTATTGGCGTTGAAAAAATATAATAAATAAATTGAATTTTCTAAAAGAAATGTTCGCCTAAAAAATAACGTTTGACGATCGGATGTATGGAGAGATAAAAAACAAACTGACTTATAGACGTTTATTTATGTATGTGTGACACACAATTGTGAAGAATATCAAAATAGTTTTGATTTTAAAAAATTAAAACCTTTCAATCTGGTGAATTTTATTCATTTGCAAAGTTGACAGTAAATAATTTTGAGTATATATATTAAAATTGTGACGAAATAAAAAATGATGGAAGATAACAAGATTCTGCCTATTCTTTCCCTACTGTTTTCATGCTCTCACATGAAATTTGCAAAACAATATTATATACAGAAGTGAAAAAGGTCCCATCGAACCAACGCTTTTTTCGATCCCAAATTCTTGTTGTTGATTCCATGGTCTTCTTATACAAATATTTCCATACCCTACCGCACTGTATTTTGTATCGCTTTTTGGTCGTTATTTTCAAATGTTGTTCAATTTTTATTTGGAAATGGTTTTGAAAAAAAAACAACAACATTTTTGGCGTATATTGTTACCATCAGCTGTTTTATACGGTTACCTTCTTAATATACCTTGCCATGACCTATTAAATAAAGTCCACCGGTTGGCGAAGTCATGCCTTGGTTTTCTCTTGCAATCAACATTTTAATAACGAAATACCAACAAGAACAGGATAATAACTCAAAATATATTTCAAAAGAGGTAATGATAGTAATGTGCATGCGTATCTTGTTTCGAATAAAAATATTTTTTGTTTATTCAATCATTCTTCAAACAATAAATTTGACAGTCAATGAAGATTTCGAATTCGCCTCCCGGTTAGCCTTACAACCATGGCACAATAAATAGGTAGCCCATTTAGAGCAGCTGATGTCTCGATTAACTGTCAAAGTGCGTAATTTCTACTTGAATTCGATATGCAGTGTTGCCAACCATGTGAAATATTATAAGGAAAAAATTTACAGATAATCGAGACAAAAACAAAGGTTTTTGTTTTGATACATCACCTTATTATTGCATCATGCTTACAACGTTACAAGAATGACTTGTGTCAAGTTTCGGATCAGATTTAAATATAGCGCCCAAATATATTTTCGTCCGATTTAATGTAATTTGTGCTCTAAAGAACCAAAGTTTGGCCGACTGGCACACAATTTTGTACAGTTTCAAGAAAACTTGACACACAAAAGTAAAACAGCAACACCAGTTTATAACCTGTCGTTTTCTTGAAATCGGTTCAGCCCCTATACATACTGTCGTCCGAGTTTAAGTAAATGGTGCACTAAAGACCCATAGCTAGGCCGATTGACACAACGTACTGAAATTAATACGAGTATAAATTAATTTCTGTCAAGTTTCCTTGAAATCGGTTCAGAATTAGATGTAGCATAGCTTTTATATATAATTTCGACCTATTTATGTTTATTGTACACCAAATAATCAATGGGTGCCTGATTGATATTGCATTTTAAACTGTGAAGCATACCAAAGCGTGTGTAAAGATTACTTTAAACCTATTTACAAAATTTAGAATAGGTTGCAGTATGGCATGTTTTGGGATTGATTTAGTCGGTGTACTTATAGATAAAGATCACATATTTAAGTTCGTTCAATTTTATGTCAATGTTCCTTCGAAAAGGCGACGTCTGTTAGGATACATGCTAAGTCTGAAAAGTGAGTTTTTCAGTAGAACTTTCAAAGTATGGAAGTTTTTTTAATCGTACGTGCAATGCTAAGTACATTCTCGCTTATAACTTTGGTTTGGATTGGCCGATTTCAGTGAAAATTTCAGTGAATTTAAATTAAGGACCGTAGTATCTAAAAACGTAATGAACATTAAAACATGCTAAGTCGACTTATCATACTATGGTTCAGAGGCGTCGATATGTACAATATACCCAAATTCGGCCCAGTCCGACTTTACCTTTCCTTACTGGTTTAACTTGAAAATTATGAACCAATCGTGATCGGCAAAATCTGAAAGCTTATGATGGTAGAATAAAACCCCAGAGGGTTTTAATTATTAGCTAATTGGTTGGTTTAAGGCATTGACTTTGTGAGACTATAACCATATGAAAAAACTCATCCAATCCAAACGAGGTTTGTCTTTCCCTTGACAGATGTGCCATTTTGAGTATGATGCTGTTGTTTTTTTTTATCTAAAAGCATAATTTGTAGATCTTATTAAGGGATAAAAAATTGCTGAAGAATGAAAAATTAATATTTCGAGTAGTTCACGTGATAAGCAGGACCTATTATTTGAAAATCCACCCAAAGTCGAAAAAAATTAAAACCGAGTTTAAACAAAAACGATAGCTAATAATTCAAAACCCTGCGAAGGTTTTTCTTCTACCATCATCGTAAGCTTTCAGATTTTGCCGGTCACGACTGGTTCATAATTTTCATGTTGAAAAATGAATCACAGTGTATTTAATTCGTTATCCGCAAGTATATTTATTATGTGGAGCACTTTCAGTGTGAATCGTCTTTCTGTTAGTGTGCAATGTGCCGCTAGTGCTGTTTTTCGAAAAAATGTCTGTAAGTTTTCTTCGCGGAGACCTAGATATCGGATGCTACCTTGGTACATAACAGACTCTTGCTCTCTCTGGAAGTAATATTAGTAATCTATAACGATCCACTGAGATCACCGCGATTCTTTGTGAATGCTGTAAAAGTCTACGTTTACGTGTCGTTTAAGTTTGAACGCGAATGCACCAAGCCCACCGGGACCACCACAAATTAAAATGATAACGTTTTAATATTAACACAAACCATAAAATATAAACTACTTATTTTTATTATATGTAAACTTACCTTGCTGCATTTCTTATGACATCATTTTCTTCCTTATTGTTATAAATTATCGATAAAATGCAATTTGCATATTCCGAAGCATCCGCTGCTAAGAAACCATTTTGTGAGCCTTCGGAAGTTTCAATTATGTCCAAAAGCGGACCTCCAGATTTATGTGCAACCATAATAATACCTGCAGCCATACATTCCACTATTCCAATACCAAAGTGTTCATTCCACATGGTGTGAATCCCAATACTTGCAATTTTATAGATTTCCATTAGTTCACTGTATGGAACATTTACTTTAAATTCAACACTATTCTCCAAAGACAAATGTTTTGATAAGTCTTGCATGTTTTTAAGCCGTTCATAATCTGATTCATTTCTGCAGGATCCCACAATAACAAGCCGGATTTTATTCCACAGTTCTTCATTTCTACTTAATAACGTCCTTAATTCATACATTGCCTGCAATTGAAGAGGGTGATCCTTTTCTGGCCGAAATTGACCAACCGACAATATTATAATTTTGTTAGGATTTTCTAATCGTTTCAAGTTCTTTATATGGTTGACTTCGCAAGGAGGATAAACACGATGGGTTTTAAATGGTACATCCCACAAATTCAGTATATGATTTTCCGTCCAAGATGAATTCACCATTATAGTTTCGGAACTGCGACCGACCCAACTATACATCTGTGTTAAAAATAGTTAGATTCATATTTGTACATATCAATACCAATGTTTAACTAACCTTAGCAAAGAGTTTGTAGTATGTAACTTTTATCCACGTCAAAAAAGGATTGCGAACAACATAACTATGATTGTTGTGAGAATATTCACGCTGCTGAACCCTCCTCAACATTTCTGTACTTATTGTAGGGTAATGAACGTAGCAGCCAACTTTACAACATCCTATATATCGAAATAATGGTAACGTAAATGCATACCCCATAGTGTCAATATATATATCGGGAGGGAATTTGCACAATGCTTCCAGGCCTAGAAGTATTGAACCAACACTTTGACCCAAAAGAGTGAAGCACGGATACTTGCTTGCTTCAACCCAATGTCTTAATTTTAAGTACACAAATGTAACACTGTCTTTTTCTATGTTAATATTGAACACACTTTTCGCTTTTTCTAAAATTGCATTTGGCGAACATTCGATGTCCCCTGTATATATGATAATTTTAATGTTATCATATTTTGCCTGAAAATAAAAAAAATGTTTAATGTGTTATACAATCATGTTAAAGCAAATATTTATTTTGTTTGCTCAAAAAATGACAAGTAGATGCAAATAACTGAATGGGATAATATGTTTGACGGATGGTCTCATTGAAAATACAGTATGTTAAAATTCGTATTTGTACATCCATTTAAAACGTAAAATTTGCGAAGTATTCATTTCAATAAGCAGATTTTTCCAATTTCTATATAAATTTTATGGAAAGAACAAAAGAATTTATACCAAATTCATTTTTTAGCCGCTAGATGGTGGATAACAAAAAACCGCATTCGCCCAGAGCAAGAACAAAAATCAACACGAAAAGCAAGATACAAAAATTGGAAAAACACAATGTTATCTATAAAATAGAATGTGATGGAAACGATGAAGAAAAATGTAAACAGGTGTATGTTGGAACCACAAAAAATAAATTAAAAACCAGATTATCGGCACACAAATCTGACATTAAATTAAGGAATCAGAATAATACACAAAAAACAGCACATGCAGAACACTGTAAGAAAAACAACCATAGACCAAACTTTGATAAAGTACAAATACTTCAAACAGAAAACAATTACAATAGGAGACTTACATTGGAAATGCTACACATAAACAACCTACCAACAACAAAGAGAATTAATTTTAAGAGCGACACAGACAACGCAGCTTACTGTTACAGACACCTTACACAGAAAGAGAGATCGTGCAATAAACTAAAATAAACTCAGTGCAATATTTACATCCGACGACGATAGTGAAGTCTATCATAGTTTTAAGTAAACTTGACACTAGTTTATTTGTAAGCGATTTTGTCACTTCATTCTGTGTAATTAATGTCATTAATTTCAAAATTGTTTGTAGATTATCCTGAAGATGCAATTTAAAACAATTGCAAAATATTGATCGTGAAAAATAAAAAAGACCTCAAGCTCGAAAAAATATATTGTTTTATTATACAAAAATCAAATAAATAACTAATAATAATAAATTATGAAGAGTTGCTTAACAACCACTGAAGAGGCCAGGCCATCCGGGTCTTGAGTGAAAGAAGTTGTTCTACCCTTGAAATTGCAAAGGGACTTAAATTGTGCCAATTAGTGTAATTAAGGGTACAAAAGATGTGCTCCGTTGTTCCCAAACCAAAAAGTCAGCTTCATATTGTGTGGATCCACGTCTAATGATAAGGAACATTTAGTACTCGCCAAACCTTTCAGTCTGTGAACGGCATAAAGAGCCCTTCCCGACATTGGCTATAGCAGCAGTAAAAAAACCAAAAATCTGTATTATCATAAAAAAACTGCAAAATCAGGGTAACGAGTTGCAACGAGTGGAACAGTGGTCGACTGGAAACGTGTGATCGGGTCCGACGAATCCAAATTCAACAGTTTTCAATTAAAACATAATCATTATTGGTGGTGAAAGCTAATTCAATGGCCAAATATGAAGCACGGTTGAGGAATCGCCATGGTATGGGCTGGCTTTAACTTGTGGGTCTTGGACCGATGTAAAAAATTGGCAATATAATAATGAATGAGGTCTATTGAGAGCATTGTAGAGTCATGTCAACCGGTCTTGGTAAATAAGATTGTGTAGGAGAAGATTGTGATCAACGACACACGCCCAAAATCGCGATAGATTATCTTGGTAAACAAATTTTTTTAATTAACGTAGTGGGAGGTAGGTCAGTACCAAACAGTTCCTATTGGAAGAATATTTCAAATGAAATTGTACTAAAATTGGTTGAAAATATGCCAATTTGCATATGACACATTAAAAATATATAAAACTACGGTATAAGTAATACAAATATTCGTATTCTGCAGTTTTTCAAACGTGCAGAAGTGAGTACATTGGAGTTAATTTTGTTTACTTCATTTTTACTTAGAAATTTAGGAGTTAAATTTTTAAATTTAGGTTGATTTGTTAATGCCTCGAAAAATACAACCAACATTTTTGAATTTGCTTTTTACTTTTGTTTTTATGACGTAAAAAGTGTCCAAGGTACAAACATGTACTCGTTTCTGCTCGTCACTGTATTATACACATGTGCAAAGTTACAAATCTTAAAGGGACCCACACCCATACATCATGCCTTCATGCCGATGAACCCCTTTGTATATGAGTGAGATTGACTAGTGTGTGGCAAATTCTTCAATCATCCCTGCAAGCATTTGGAAGTGAGTTTCTAACTCCATCTTCAAATAATTATCTACTTCGACACTTATTTTTTGTAAAAGGGTGATAGTTCGTAATTTTACAATAACAAATGAATTGTTATCCAATTTCGGTCGTCTGTAGTAACTACTTAGTTAAATGAAAGAAGATGGAAATTCGATAGTTTCATAATTTAACTGTCGTTCTATAAATATTTGTCATCGAATAAAAATTTGTGGATACATTTTCATTGCAAAAAATCTTCGGCCTGAAACCGTTTTCATTGCTGTATCAAATAATATAGAGGCGCGGAAAAATGTAGATTTAAGGTCATGGATGTATAACTCTTTGGTTATAAGTACAGAAGAATCATTTGGAACATTCATCATTAAGTGCAAACAAGAGCTCTACATCAAAAAAGGCAATTGATTTGAGAAGCAAGAGGGAGGCATCTGGATTGTTTTCAACCTTTTTCCCAAAGTCAACAGATACAACATCCACCTCAAAAGGTGGTCGAAAAAAGTATCGGAATGGGCAATCCAAAATTATGTAAATCATAACGCATAACGCACGATCGGGATAGAATACACAAATTTAACTAAATAATGTTTTTAGTTTCACTTAGTATTAACCTTAACATCAATATTATCTTTGTTTGGCGTTAAAAGTTGACTTTTTTTTCAAAATATACGTTATTCATTATTGTTACTCATTATTCATACAAATATTTTACTTTGGGTATCAAAAACTCACTACCAGGCGATATCGTATTTTAACAAAAGAAATGAAGAAATGAAACACGCATTCGTTACATCTTAAACGTATCTTCTTAGTGAAAGTTGAAAGTAACTAATAATATTTAAGGTAATATTTAAGGTAACAAAACAGTGTCATTTTGGAGTGTCGCTTTATTAACTTCAAATTGTGACGAAGAAGATACTTTTTAAAGGTAACGAGTACGTGGTTCATTTCTTCCCAAACGGTATAACTTATTTGTTAAAAATACGATATCGCCTACGAGTATTTTCATCGCCTGGTAGTAACTTTTTGGATATTTTTCGGATAGAAAATGCTTGCTGGGTCACTTCCAAATGCTTGCAGGGTTATTTTTTTAAGTTTATTTATGTATGTGTGACACACATAATGCATGAAGAAAATCAAAATAGTTTTGATTTTGAAAATGAAACCCTATCAATCTGGTGAATAATATACATTTTGAAAGTTGTCAGTAAATAATTTTGTGTACAAAAATAATAGAATTGTGACGGAATAAACAACAACTGAATTTACGACTCAAAATTCATTTTTTTTGGACAAAAAATAGTGATTGAAGATTTTGCTATACACTAGTCAATGTCACATATACACAAAAGGGGTTCATCGGCATCCCTGCATCATGCATTCATGCATTGTGTGTGTCACACATACATAAATAATTTTTTTTTTTTTAATTCAAGAATGTCGCTACAATTTTTTTTCAACTGAAAATCTTAAGAACTCTTGAAGATATTGCCGATTTATTGTGTCAGCATCAAGTGACGGTGAGAGTGGTTCTCAAACTTAAAACGCATTTTTCTCGAAGCAAAGTTTTTACGAATGGCGGCGCGATAACTCAAAAACTAATAATCCAATCGGTTTCAAATTTTGACACGTTTCTCTGGGAGTGTATAGATATCGTATGAACTAGGATAAAGTCAATCTTGTTTGTGGTCAAAAATAGGCGAATTTCCAGAAAAATATTTCAAAGGTTCGCCATTTGTTAATTTTTGAACGAAGTCAATAATCCTAGTTCATACGAGAGCCAGACATGTACTCTTTCTAACACCCTTGGAATTTCCGGATTCCGATGTTCCAGTGAGGAGTTATCATGCCCACCATAAAAATAAAGACTTTTCTTTAATCACCAAAAATAATAACAAAACAACAACCAAACTTTGCAAATTATTTTTCTTCTCTTTTAAATCTCCAATTATATATGAGTAAAGTTACAAAACTTCACATGCATTGGTAAATACCAGTCCAATGAAAATCTTGAAAATAGAATGGGGGAGTTCCCCTTAAGGAATTTTCACCAATAATTGATGAAAAAATTATAAATATCTTCCACATATCGACGCCTCCGAACCATAGTATGTTAAGTCGACATAGCATGTTTTAAAGTTCTTTAAGTTTTTAGATACTACGGTCCTTAATTTAAATTCACTGACATTTTGGTAATCATCGGCCAATCCAAACCAAAGTTATAAGCAAAAATGTACATAGCATGGCACGTACGATTAAAAAACTTCCATACTTTGAAAGCTTCTACTGAAAAACTCACTTTTCAGACTTAGCATACTATGGTTCGGAGGCGTCGATATAAAATTTATATAAATTTGTAAAGTTATTACCTACGTAGATCAATAAGCGTGGTCAATCCCACGACGGCCGGTTCTATGCACCGGATTGACTCGGAGGAATCAACTTCCGACCAAGGGCTGTCAACCCAGCAAATACTACGTGTATTTTTTCAACATGGGAGCATCATTACCCGGAATGCTTGCTCCGGATTCGTTTGGTCAGTGCCGGGATTGAGACAAACCCCGGACCATGGTTCTGCTCAGTTTGTCACAACAGCATCCACCACAGATCTATCTCGGTGAGATGCAACGGATGCAGAGAATGGGTACATTTCAGGAGTTGTTCCGGCCTTAGCCGGATACAGGAGTATAGCGAAAGGGACTACGTTGCTACTTGCTGCGCCAATGCAGTCCCCAGCGAGTCGTCGTCACCGTGGTCCACGTCATCATCGTCGTCGTCTTCGGATTAAGTGACTCCCCTGCAATCTC